TCAAAAACCTTGGATTAATTTCCATGCTCTAAAGACCTGTCTGTCCCAGGTATAGGATAAATTTTGTCCAGAGTTGCTGTGCTAGATCTTCAGTCTTCACAAAATCTTAATACTCCTCACTGATCTTTATCACAGTCAACTGCAACTGAAAAGTCACTAGTGTGTTATCATCTTTGTTCCACTGTGTAAAAGATTGACAGCCGGCTGAATATGAGCCAGCAGTGTGCCCAGGTGGGGTGGCCAAGGAGGCCAACAGCGTCCTGGCCTGTATCAGCAATAGCGTGGCCAGCAGGAGTAGGGAAGTGATCGTGCCTCTGTACTTGGTGCTGGTGAGGCCGCACCTTGAATCCTGTGTTCAGTTTTGGGCCCCTCACTACAAGAAGGACGCTGAGGTGCTTGAGCGTGTCCAGAGAAGGACAACGAAGCTGGTGAGGGGTCTGGAGAACAAGTCTTATGAGGAGCAGCTGAGGGAACTGGTTTTGTTCCGTCTGGAGAAGAGGAGGCTGAGGGGAGACCTTATTGCTCTCTACAGCTACCTGAAAGGGGGTTGTGGTGAGGTGGGTGTTGGTCTCTTCTCCCAAGTAACTAGTGATAGGACGTGAAGAAATGGCCTGAAGTTGTACCAAGGGAGGTTTAGATTGGATATTAGGAAAACTTTCTTCACCAGAAGGGTTGTCTAGCATTGGAACAAGCTGCCCAGGAAGGTGGTGGAGTCACCATCACTGGAAGTGTTCAAAAAATGTGTAGACGTGGCACTTCGGGACATGGTTTAGTGGGCATGGTAGTGTTGGGTTGGTGGCTGGACTTGATGATCTTAAAGGTCTTTTCCAATCTTAATGACTCTGTGATTCTGTGTGATCTCCCTCCAAGGTCTAGCTGATGGGACTGCATATCCTCCTGTTGCTGGCATTTGTTCTGTGTTACGGTGACCGGTCACTGCCTGGCTTTCCTGGTAGATACTGTCCTTGTGGCTGAGAGTGAACTCTTTTTCTAAATCTCAGCATCTGGAGTACAGGGTCATAGCAGAATTGTGCAGGTTTTCTTCAAAACCTGGCTGGTTCAACTGCAGTTGAACTTGAAGTTGACTCTGTATGTGACAGACATTAACCCTTAAGATGATCCCTGTTTATTCTAGTCACGTAATCCCTGTTTACCACAGGAATCCTGACAGTTCCTTGTTTCAAATTTGAAGGCTGTTCTCTTTAGTGACTAACAGACTTCTACTCTCATTTTCAGATGCCTGGACTTGCCATCTCTGTTCGGCAGCATTATCCATGAGTTTCTAAGACATTGGCCTGACCTGCTTCATTTGTATCTGCAATTTTTTCTTAGAGTCCCAAGTTCCTCAGAGTGGTTTTCTTCTTTTTATCATAGTTTTAAGCAGCTCTTCCAGGTCTGGGTCCTTCCATTTTTTTTCTCCCCTTTGTATTGGCAAGTATTTTCCTCTGCATGCCCTCCATGAAAACCGACAGTGTGATAGGGAGGTGCCCTTTGATTTATCAGTCATTGTGGTCAAAGGCTGTCCTGTGTCAGTGTGTTGTTTTTTTTTTTTGTAATGGTTCTGGTCACTGTCTATGTTCATGGCTTGGAATTTCACAAGCATTGGAAGTTTAGCCTGTGCCACCCACTTTTATCCAAGAGAGACATAAATCTGAGCTGGGAATGCTGAGTTCATTGAAGCAGGAAAACAGGACTCAAAGACTTTGCTTCCTGGTGCCACGGAGTCAGCAATTTGCAATTCAGGTACCACAGTCTGAGTAGCTTAAAGAAAAGAGGGGATGATAACCATCACAGAGTTAGCGAGAAATGGCTTCTCCCTTGCTTGCTTCATAGAAATAATTTCTCCTCCAACTGAGGGTCACTGGGATTCTGAATGGCAAAGGCTGATGCTGGCAAAAAAGCTCCTGCAATGCCCATTTTCTGGTTCCAGTGGTGTGTGATGATGAAAATGGCTATAAAATACTTATCACATCTTCCAAAGTATGCTTCTGGATTTATGATTGTGTTTGGCACTATGATTGTAAGATCCCACAGGTAAATGAGGGTTTACCCAGTGTACAAATCCAGAAAGCCTATTTTGCTTCACTTTGCAAATCCACTCACATAATTAAATTAGCACCCCAATGGATAAACAAACATGCTTCTATTGTAAAGGATTCCTGGACCTACCCCTTGCACAAATAACTTAATCTTAACTGATTCCTTATCTGTAACATCACATTGATAAGATGCTGGTTTCTGCCATGCGCAGGGTTAAATATTGGGTTTCTGCTTTGTCCACTAGCGGGCTCAATAAATCCTGAGCAAGTATGTTAAGTCCCTGTAAATGGTATATCTATTTCTGTTCCTAATAAACTGTACAGAACAGTAGCTGACTGTGTCTATGGAATAGAGTTTGTAAATAGAAATATTACAGCGTTTTCTCATTCATCACAATTAGGTCCATATAGTGATCGGTAAAGCAAGTAAGCTTTCATTGCTAAAGCAGGTTGCGTGCCTATTCATCTGATAATGCTTTTGAGTTGTCTCAGAATGTTTTGTGTCACTCTGCATGAATTTAAAAATTTCCTCTTTTTCATGTGATTTAATGAAGCTTTTCAAGAAGTAAAGTTTGAAACTCAGGTAGACCAGTCTGCTTTGCATGGTCATACAGAGAACAGGCAAAATCCAGCCCTTTTTTAAGACAAGCCTCTGCCACTGCAGTCAAATTTTTGGCTATTCTCTTTGTACTGTATCAGTGATTTTTTTAAGTGCAAAAATTCTTTTGGATGTTATATCATTCATTTCATGTTTTGGCTCTGTATTTAAATAAAGCAGAAAGTGTGTGGAATGGATGATAGCTGAATAGTGTTTTCTTTCCTGAAGGTGTAACTTTGAATGTTACTATGTTGAGAGCATGTTCATGCATTTTAATTTCTCTTTAGTTTAGACTTTCAAGACTGTGATGAACAGTTATGTAGAACCATATTGTACCTGCCCCTGAAACTGTAGAGATGGGCCCCTGAGCCCGCGGATGCCACCAACCTAACAAGAGAAAATATTAGTTCATAATGTGGGGAGGAATTTAAAAGGATAAAGCATTAAATAGGCATCTGTCCGGTATCTTGATATTTGTCGTTGTTACAATGAACATAAAACATCAATGTAACAAAGACAAATAATTGTCAAGACACCTGACAGCCATATAACAGTTGAAAGATGGATTAGAATTAGAACTAAACATCTCCTAGTGCTTTTGTGTAGAACCAGCATTTAGTATTTCAGAGCTTGACCTTGGGTTTCCTGCATACACCTCTGATGAAGCTTTTTAAGGACAATACTGATATCAGGTTTTCCTCACTGTCTCCAGCTGCAGCTAGTGTAGGTGAAGCAGTACTTAAAACAAGAAGAGCCAGAGGGTTCCTATCAATGTGGAAAGGGAACTGTCATCTGCTTTCTGCGTTGGAAGAGAAGATGCATCCTCACCTCCATGTTAGCACCGAACATCACTAACAGGCTTTGCAGCTTCTCTTTCACCCTTCACCAAACACATACATCGGTATTACTGACTGCAACTTTCTGTTTGATTTTGTGTACAAACACAAATATTTTGTCAGTAGTGCCCACTTCTTCTCTAGATCATACTCTTAAATGTTTTTACCTGCATTATTTTGCTTCTAGTAATACTGTGTATTTATAGTATCAATAGTCTATAATGTACAGTATTAACTATACTATATATAGTATTAACATGATTGATAATATTAATTAATTATTATTAACATATTTAATTATTATGTTAATAATAATTAATTAATATTTAATATT